GGCTCTGCCTTCAGGGCGGCGCTGCGCCCCTGGGTGACGGCAGGAGCCCGCCTGGGCCTGGAACCGGGGCTCTCGGTGACCGGGATGGAAAGGCAGCCGCGTCTGAGGATGCAGGGACCCGCCTGGTGCCTGGTAGGGAAGTTGGCCGCGCTTCAGGAGACAGCCCAGCCCCTGGCCGGCTTTTTTTTTCTGCCCAAGTGATTGCCCTGCCCTGGGGACCGAGTCCCGCTGCCCTGGCTCTGTCTGGAGGTGGCTCCGTGGCCAAATTCGATTAAGCAAATATTTACTGAGCGTTTGCTGCCCCCCCCCCCAGGGCCTGGCGCTGGGGTGCGAGTGGACGGGCCTGCCCTCCAGGGACTGACTCACCACCCCACGGGGGAGCAGTGTCTTTGCTCAGATAACCCCAACCCTGAGTGTGGGTTTGGGGGGCGTCTCAGGAGGGGACCTCAAAGAGGTGACCCAGGCGGGGGTCAGACAGGCCTGTGGGCAAAGTGGCATTTGAACTGGAGCTTGAAGGGCACGGGCACAGTTGGGGTGGGCATTGCAGGCAGAGTGGGGAACGCGGACCAGGGCACAGGAGCTGGGCAGTCGGGTCTGTGGGGCGCAGAGGGAGTGCTTGGGGAGCCCTAGGTGTGGCCGGAGAGGTGGGTGGGGGCCCGCGCAGGGGCCGAGGGAGCTGGGGTGAGAGCCACCCCATTGCTTGTCCGCTGTGGCTCTGTCCGTGGGAGCCGAGGTCCCCCCATCTGTCAAAGGGGGCGGCTAGCTGTGTACTCCAGGAGCTGGCGCCGGCCCAGGGCAGAGCTGGAAAGGCCTGGGGGAGCTCCTAGCAGCCTGGGGCTACCTTTCCAGGCACCTCGGCCCTTGGGCAAGGCCTGGGAACCGGGTAACCACCCACCTGGCCCCCCTCCCAGCCAGGATGGAGGGTGGTGTTTAGCTGTTGTCTCTCTGGGGCCTGGACATCAGGGAGCAGTAGCCGTGGAGGCCTGGGAGTCTCCGAGCCGGGGCTGTGGCGCGGGAGGGCCTGGCCACACTCGCTCGCCCGTGCTCAGATGAGTGCTGTGCCTTCAGCCACCAGACACGGGCGTCTGGTTTAAAACTCTCCTGCGTTCCGCTCGCACAGACCTGGTCTGCTGAGACAGGGGGTGAATAAGTCATGCCCCCCTCGCCCCCAGAAGGCCAGGTCACCTCTGCCCTCCACCTGTGTGCTCTCTGGCTCCCAGCCCCACCCCAGACCCCCCCCCTCCAGCACACACACACTTTCAGCTTTGGGGGGAGGCCCAGGGGGCTGCGGTGAGAACACACAGCCCAGCTGCCCATTGGGGGGCTTCCCTCTGTGCCTGTGGCTCGCTCTGGGGGGCCTGCCAGGGTCTCTAAATTTGGGACACAGGGAAAACATTCCTCCCTCTGTCCCAGCTGCTCAGCGCTTCTGTCTCCTGGGGTCCCAGGAGGTAAATCGCCGTGGTCTGGTTCTCGGGAGCTTCTAGGGCGATGCCGGGCACTCCGGGTACCCGGGCGGGGTGGGCTTGGGAAGACGGCCCAGGGTCCCTGCAGAGAGGCCAGTGGGAGGGGGTGCCCAGTCGCAGGGAAGGTGGGCCCAGGCTCGGGGTGTGGCCTCGGTGTGGTTGGGTTGTGGGTACCTGCGATGACAGCCTTACCCCCTGGGTGTGAGGAGGAGGCAGCCCCGTGCTGCCCCACACCAGCCCTCAGATCTGAAACCCGGTGCCCTAAGGGCATTCTCGCTGCAGCTGACCAGGGGGCGCAGGAACTCTGAAGGAGGCAGATTAGCCGCTGCTCTCCCGCGGCCCCAGGAAGGAAACCTGGGGGAGCCCAGTTCCCCGAGGCAGTCCTTGGAGCACAGGGTGGGCAGGAAGGAGGGTGAAGGAAATGGACAGGCATTGGGCAGCCGCTGTATCAGCCCCAGGCAGCAGCCTCAGGGGCGGCCTGACACAGCTTGTGCAGACGGGCAGGGCCGCTGGGCAGGCGGGGGAGGGCCCAGCTCCCTGCAGGGTGGGGTGGGGAGGGCAGAGCTCCAGGTGAGGCGCAGACCTGGGTCAGGTCCTGGCCCATCCCTGTCCTCTCAGCCACCTTGTCCTCACCCATAAACAGAGCCAAAGTCCCTGCACAGGCCCCCCACTTCCCCAGCACAGGTCTCCCCCCCCCCCTCAGATTTGGCCCCGTGAACTCACAGAGACTGTCTGCCGGGCCTGGGAGGAGACTGACACCCCCACAGGCTGTTCATTCAGTCGTTCCTCCGGCTAATATTTACCGCACCTGCCGAGGGCTGGGCCCTGTGCCAGGCACTGGGACACGCGGAGCAGAACCGACGCCGCGTCCACTCTGTGGCACCCACACCAGACAGGAGGCCGGCCCAGCACGTGGGTAACTGAATGCGGGGAAGGATGGGCGTCGGCCCAGGGCCGTGGCGGAGCCATGGGCGAGGCGGGTGACTGACAGAAGAGCCCCAGGAGAGGGGATGGCAGGTGCAAATGCACGCACGGGGCCCCACGGGAAGTCCACGTGGCTGCAGCCCAGGAGGGGGGAGGGGCTGCAGAGCAGGTCAGGGAGGGCTCTGCAGGCCCCAGGGAAGCTGGAAGCCCTGCAGCTTTGGAACAGACACTTGAGCTCATTTCGCTTTCAAAAGACCCGCCTGGCTGCTGGGCGCGGGGGCCAGGCCGGAAGGCCGTGAGGGGCTGTTGTGGCATTTGGGGTGAGGGGGCTGCTGACCCAGGGGGGCATTCAGTGGGACCTGCTACTGGAAAGGCGGCGAGGAGAAGAGCTCGGAGAGGTCGGGGCTGGCACTGGGGAGCCGGACGGGGCAGACTCAGCTGGAGGGGCAGGGCCCTGGGGGTCGGTCAGACCCTGCAGGACATGGTGCACATGACGGTCAGAGGGGAGAGAGTCTGGGAGGGACAGGAACCTGGAGTCTGGCACCAAGTGTGTGGGAAGCCAGGGGCCGGCCGAGGTCAGGTGGGGATGGAGGGCCGGTGGGACCAGGAGGCAGGGCCAGGCCTCGGGGCCTCCACTGCTCCCCCTTTGAGCTGAGAAGGTTCTCCAGACCAGAGACTGGGGAGGACTGACGAGCAAGGGAGACGGGAGCGCAGTGCAGAGGCCACGCCTGGGTCTGTCTTCCCCGGAGGGCGGGGCCCGCAGACACCGCGCGGACACGGGGTTCATGGCGACTTGTAACATGGCCAGGACAGGCCGAATAATGTGT